TGATTTACTGTGAATGCATTGAAATTTTTGCCTTTGAAAACCTTCATGACACCCTGCTTAGAATACCGCAGAAGATGACAGTAGATTTGCAATCACTGTTTCATGTTTCATACTCTTCAAGACAGTGTAAATCTCAAATTGAAAGGTGACTTGGACTAGGTTTCCTTTCCCGACAGTTCGATTAAGGAAGCTCGGCTTAAAACTTTATTTTTGGATCAGTGGTACTTACCAATAGGTGAAAAGTGCTGCACCTGAAAGTAATTTAAGTTTATAATAGAAAACTTAGATTGTGTCTTGTTTGGTATGCAGTTTAATTGATGCATTTCAGTGATATTTTGATCCGGAGAAATGTACCTACGCCGTAACCCTTTGTTGTGACAGTGCAGCTGTCGAGGAAGCTATAGAGAAGGGCGTACGAACACGGATCCTGAACAAAACCGATACGTAAACGATTTTTACTTCATACTTACGGTATCTCTGTCGATCACGTTGCAACCACATGCCACAACAAGCTGAGCAGGTTTTAGCAAAACTGAACAGCAGTCGCTATAAAAAATTGTATATGAAGGTGAAAAAGAAAATTTATTAGTACCCGTAATTTTGAGGTGGGAAAGCTGTAGAAGTGCTATACTGCAAGGAAGTTTCTTTGGGTGTAACAGTCGCAGTCTGACTTAAAAAGCTGTTAGTGGATGCAAAATTTGCAAGTTTGTGCTCACAAAGATTGGCTGACTTGGAGGAGGCGTTGCTAAGTTGTACGGAGTGGTGCGAAAGGGAAAACTATAAAAGAGTAAGTTTTTTTTCTCTATAAAAGTTCTAAGACAACTTACCATGCTGGTGGAGCGCCTGGAGGTTGGATGCTGAAAATATACTTTAATCAGAATTATGGAAATTGAAACATGTATAAGAAATGCTTGAAGTGCTGCTTAGACGAGCTCGATGTTGAGTAGCCTCACCAGCAATTCTTGCTCTTTTTCACCTTTCAAAGCAAATCGTATTCTATCATCACCTTCTTCAAGCTTCGTTGCTATCTTAGAATCAAAAGCGGTAAAAGGGCAAAAAACAAAAAAGAGAAAGAGTACAGCGGACGGCACATGTTTGTCTCTGCTTTAGAATCTTTACATCATTAGGTATCACAATCAGTCAGTTGGCACAACTTTGGAGTGCAACTCACCACTTCACAACTATCTGAGAAGGTGCCGAGTTTGTATGACATTCAGCCAGGTCATCTCGCCTAGAACGACAGCTTTAGAGATATCAGAAAGTAGGCATGTAAATGTTGAAAACTATGGTTTACGTTAGAATCCCGTAAGAAAGGGCCTCTTCACATTTTAATGGTTTCGCATAGGCGTACGGATGTCCTGAAATTTACTTTTGCATTGGTACTAACTCGCTCTTTCGAATGTTCGTAAAGGTTTGCTTGTGTCATCAGTCATGCAATACTTTTGTGACTTGTGGAATTAATTGTATTAATTCAATAAATCTCTCATACGTTTTCAGCCATCATATTACTTTGTCTCCATTACACAGTTCCTAGGTTTGGCCCTACGACTGTGCTACGAATAAAAAATGAAAATAGTTTTACTACCTAAGTTCTTTTTCCGCACAGTACAGTAGCTAAGGTCGTTGGTGTCGAAGGCTTGGAGGCACTTATCTGCACCCTAAACTACATATCATGTATTTATTTTACTATGATGACCACTCACAGGTGTAAGTGAAGGTGTTTCGCAGTTGCATATTACAGTCGCTTCCACGTTCTCCGCTACAACATAGCAGCAATCATCTCTAAAGCAAAGGATGCAGTTTTAGAGTGTGGGCTATTAATTGAATATTTCCATATCAATGAAAATAGCAGGTTATCATTGTGACTATTTGCTACAACTTCTCAATCCAGCTTACTTTGCTACGTGTCCTCTATTAAGCGGTGTTGCATAGCTGACCGGTTGTGAAGGGCTGACAGTCACGACTTCTCTAGTCGACGGAAGATACGGTTTGCTCAAATAAAGAGTGAACAAGCATTCTTATTGGAGTGAGGCGTGTGATTTGGAAATAAGACAATTTTTTGCTGCTA